TAAAAATATCCTACATATGATCTCGGTTCATTCAAGATTAGAGATCAATTGGGTGCTGGTCTATGGACTCTTTAAAGCATATTTAGATTATATCGAAGAGCAAAAATCCACTGCAAAGAAGCCAACATACGGTCCATTCAAACTACAATTAAAGTGAGTAGATGACCACTAGAGTGATAAAAGATTCCCCTAGTGAAAAAACTTCGCAAAAAAACTCTCCTCCATCCCAAATTCGTATACACTGTGTGATTTCCGAACATCTATTATAGGCTACCTTATCCCATAATATAATGTGACAGAAAACGTCAGATAATTATTCATCATAAAGTTGGGCTGTTATTGGTACTTACCAAATCGGGGACATATTTTGCAGCTGAATGCAGACAGAGAGGGTAAACGCTTATTCAGGGACAAAGAAGGAGTAATGACTCTTTGATGTAATTTCTTAAAAATAGGTCACAGTTTCGCGAAAACCTCTTCTTTGGACAAAAAGATCTTCCCAGAGTGCAGGAAGACGTTAGGACGTCTGAATAAGAAGTTTAAATCCCGATGAATAAGATTTTTGCCATATAATGCTCATGGTGCACTATATTGCTTTTGTGAATGAGAAGCTCCTTTTATTTAAACGCTATAGTTTCCCGGAAATTAAGTTTTTCAAAGTATCCAATAATGCTATAGAATTTTTGCTCTTAATAGTTCATCGAAGACGAAATTCGGATTTATTGTGATTTCAAATCATTGAGCTTTTTGGACAAAAATAAGATCGCGGGGTAACCACATTAAATAGAGCGTTGTCGTGTCCAAATATTGGTAAATGGTATGAGTACATGCATAGAGATCTCCGGTCTATGAAATACCTGTGAAGCGATTCTCTGTCTACAGAACCGTCAATATTCCTGCTATTTATATTCATTGAGTACAGAAACTTTTACACTGGCATATTTCCCTGCCCTCGTATATGTTAACTTATAAGTAACTTTACTATTGCAGCTCACTCACATCGCATAGAGACGATGTGATGCTTAACATTTGTCGTTGGTTTAGGGTGAGCTATTTTGCAGCGGCTGGTCGGCCAGTCATGCCTTTAGCATAAAAATTGATATGAAAATATTTCATTGCCAAACGGTCATTAAATACCACTGAAATCGAATCGAAACCTTTTTAAACATTACAACAAATAAAAAACATTCTCTTTTTTTTGTCGGTTTCGCCAAATGAGATGAACCAGCCAACAAAGAAAACACAGCAGAAGAAAAGACAAATAAAGCCGCCAATTGCTGGCTGGCATGGTATCCCGTAAATTTTCTTTTCAGCCATCCAGCCAGCAAACGGTGGGTTTATTGCAGCTTCAATTTCATGTTGCAGGCAAAACTCACATGCACACACTCACACTTGAACATTTTAACAAATTAGCCAACCGACAATAATCGTTAATAAATTATCAAGTGAAAGGCATTTTGCAACTTGTTACTTTTCTTTACGACAGACGTCTAAGCGACCGGACAAATGATACCATGAATTTGGTCGCGGCGGCCACTGGTAGTCTGTCTGGATGGATGGACGGACGGATGAAACCAAAAATAACTCCCACATAAACGAAGGCCACCAAAATACCAGCCGCAGCAACAACTGAAAAGTTGGCGGTGTCCAGATGTCCACTGCAACGGGAGAAAATAACTTCGAAAAACAACGGACACTATCTGCGCATGCTCAACTCCAGCTGTCCGTCCATGTTGATGAGATGATGGTGTTTAAGAGTTTTATTTTTGGAACTGGCATCAGTGAAACAAACAGGAAGCATAGCCAGTGAATGGTATGGCATATCGAAAACAACATTTTCATTTTTGTGTTTTGGTTTTTTCCTCCTGGGTTTTCAAGTTTTTTTCTTTTTTGGAACGAATGTGGTGTAAGGTTGTGGTGGGTTTTTGTAGTTGTTGCTGTTTATTCATTTTTTTGTTTCGTTGGCCCAGAAACCCAGTGAAATTTTGTCCACATATCTTTATTGATGTGGTTGTTGTTGCGCTAAATGTAGTGCCTACATCAAAATTGTCAACCTACAAACGTCATTGCAATACGGCATCCATACATTTTGTTTTTGCCGTTCGACATGGGTCTCAATATCACTGTTAAATGTTTGATAATGATGTTGATGGTTTTAAATCAGAGATGCCAAAATGAAAGGAGTTTGATTGTGAAATTCATGCAAAAGGGAAAACGTTTTTTCGTAGTGCATCCATTATTGAGAATTGGTCCAGATTTTTATATAGTCACCATTTTCGTCATATTTCTCACAATTGAACCGTAAATTTTAAAATTAAAAAAACCAAACTTCCGTAAAATTTATCTATAACTTCGAAACAATTTCGGACGTAGCGAATAGTCTGACTCTTTAATGTGGGAAATGTTATTAGAGCCTACACGGGCTGAAGTTTATGTCAAATATGGAGAGAGGGCATGGAAAGTGAGTCGGCAAATATTGGCTCGTTTAATTTCCTATTTCCTTCAATGAAACACTAAATTGTAAAAAAATAAATCCGGTAAAACTTCTCCATAAGTTCGAGAAGGAGGTCTCATATAATTGACCTTAATAAAGGCCCGGACTGCACTCTTTAATGTAAGACAAGTTATTAGAGTCTTGTAGTGCTGTAATTGATACCCGCAAGGTATTTTGAAACAAACTGCAACCACTTATATGGAGGACAGGGCAAGAGAAGTGAACCAATCATGTATTGGAAAAGAAATGCAACTATCACAGAAGACAAGGGACGACCAAAAAGGTATTTTGAAATTAGCATTTATAATTACCCGAGTTTAACGTTGATATTTAGGTCTTATTCCGAACAAACCCCAACAATCGACTGACAAGATATTGACACCTTCACCTTGGGATTCGCATGAAATACTTTCTGTAACTATTTCGAAATTCAAAGGCGCATTAACAATATTTTTAATGTTTTTCTATGTATTCTCAAGCCAATTTTAGAAATACTTTTTTGTCCACTTCGATGGAGACAACTCCAAAATATAATTTACGCATAAACAGCATCTGTTGGCGACGAAATCCATTTCTTATGTGCAGGAATAGGAATGAGTGATTGTGCACCAAATCAGGGTTAAACGGCGGATGACAGATCAATACCGATCGTGATACCTCGATTAGCTGCGTCCACCTAGACATGTATGTCCGCCCATTCGTTCGTCTGTCTATTATAATTTGTAAAAACGCTACAGGCCACAATTATGAACCAATCGTCACGAAATTATAGTATGACCGATTCTGGCCAATGATTTGGTAATGAAAATTAAATGGACCAACAAATTTATTTTTGTCTGGTCGCTCCAGAGGTCGCAGTTATTACCCGAACATCACGAAATTATGCAAGGGGATGGGAATATTCCCAAAGAATTAGCATGACTTTGATATCAATTATATTGGTGTATGTCCTCTGATGTAGGAGTTATATGTAAATATTACAGGGGTGTACCTAGTCTGATATTGTTTAGTATTACTGTTACCACAATAGAGGGCGGAAATATAGCTCTGATGACATTTTGTATTACGGTTCCGATTATGATCAAGATCGACGCCGGAGATGGAATGGGCCGAAAACTTTATTTTTATCTGGTTTTCTAGTCGCACTAGACGCGACAATTATCAGCCGAACATTAGAAATTTTCTACAGGGAAGGTGATCTGGCCATCTAATTCGAATGACTTCATGATAATGAACGGTTGATATTTAGCGATTCAAATGAATTTTTTTACACCGAGAAAACATCAACTCGGCCAAAATAGTGCAAATTAGGGATTAATAAATCGACTTTTGATCTTTGAAGAAATCACAAAGTCGACTTTTTAATGTCGACTTTTGAATTTCTTCATAAATACGTGGTTTATCATCACAAAGTCCAAATTGCCCAGAAATTACACATTGCAGAACTTTATTTTATCTGTAAACAAAAATCAACGTTTTGGTGGATTTTGAATTAGTCGATTTTGAGCAGGTTTGATAAAATCCAAAGATCGAAAAGTCGTCGTTTTAGTCAAATGCAAAAATCGAAAAGTTGACTTTTGTGGTCGACTACGTATCCCTAGTGCAAATATTGTGAAATATTACCCAAGCTCGGAATATAGATCCGCAGAAACGTAGAGATGGATAGTAGTTGTGTAGGGTATCATATTGTCCGTCCCGTCCGCTCACTGTCAAAACAATGCCAAAATTTGATCAAAGTGCTTGAACCCGAAAGGTAAAATTACAACTATTTCGGTGGGATAATTCGGCTAAATCCTTCAAAATACCAAAACCTGAAGCTGTATTGAAAACGTTTTGAGAAGAAGTTTTATTCATCAATAACCTGGAATGCCATTTCACATATATCTTCGAATATATCTTGAGAATTTTCGCATATATATTTTCACCCACGATGAAGCCAGAATGTGAAATTACAGCTACTCCGATTGGAAAATTTCGTCTGAAACCTTCAAAGTATATAAAACAAATCGTGTGCCGTTATCGCAATTAAAGCAGAGGAATATAAATAGATCGACATCGAGTCGTATTCATATTCGGTTAATATTTCGAGGTGCAATGTGTGTATAATAAACAAAAAAAATGTTTTTCAAAAAAAAAAAAAAAAAAAAAAAAAACAAGAGAATTGGAATGTAACTCTCCAGCATCCAATTTGTTCCGATTCTGGTGCCGAATTCCCACGAATTCTGAAATTTTTGTCGGAAGGAACGTTTGAGTTTTGAGTTTACGAATTCGTAAAAAATCAGATAAAAATGGGAACTTTCGATTTTCTGCATAATATCGCAAAAACTCTAAAGAAACAATAGAGAATTGACTAAAAAGGGTGGCAATTGTTTTTGTAAACAAAACGAAAATAAATCTGATATCAGAGCATGCGACAAAAATTTTTAGCTGGGTCGTTCATTCCATTTCGTTCATTTTGAATTTAAAACAATTGGTCTGAAGAAAATAAATTCGTTGAATAACTCACCTAGAATTAAGACCTTCAATTTCTTCAGCCTGTTCGGCCAATGATGACTCCAGATCCAGATAGGCTCCAAAATCACCATCTTTATAGACTTGTAGGGCGGCATCGTCGATCTGCAAGAAACAAAATTAAAATTTTCGAATATATAAAATGAAATTGTGACAAAAAGTTCATATCAGAAATATTTTTTTTTTATTTCAAAATCAGTGGGTCGATTCACTATCAAATTTAAACAATTCTCAAATCGATAAACTATTATAACGACAAAATAAACAATATTTCAATTCTATAACAGTTTTTTAACACCAATTGTTAAAAATGTTGTTAATAAACAACACCAAAATATTCGAAGTTAATTTATCGACAAATATTTTTCAATATTGAACATGCCTTGTTTTGCTCTGAATTTGTATGTATTTTGTTTTCAAAATGTTCAAAATTAAAAGCTTTTTGAAAGTTTATCGACAATTTGTCTACATTTTTACTGAATAAGATTTTCGTTACTGCAAACGATTTTTTGTGTAGACAAAATTGTCGATTGTCGGATCGTTATAAGTTACTGAATCGACCTACAGGATAATTAAAAATCACAAAGTGAAAAATACTTTAGATAACACTGCTTTTGGAGTTCTTAATTTTCTAGTTCTGCCATTTTTATGGAACATTGTTCTTCTGAAAATTTCCTTATCATCTGGAGGTAGGACATATTTTTAGAAGAGTATAATGAATGTTGATTAATTACAATCGAACTTCCATAAGTCGAGTAGAATTAATGAGGTAATTACACTTTTTAACACAAAAAATATTCGGGAAATTTCAGAAAATAATGATTGAAAGGCTAAAATAAGAAGACACGTGTATCGGTATGATATATACCGATTTCTCTTGTTCGGCGACTTATACTAAAATGTTATGGAGAATATTTTTGTTCCTTATACCATTCTTTTAAAACGACATCTAGTGGGGGAAATTGGCACAAACTCGTAATAAAATCGGTTTTATCCCTAAGATTGATTTTAACCCTATTTTACGATTTTTGTCAGTCAGACTGATTTAATAATTTAGATCTATTCCGAGATTTGTAGTAAAACTTTATGGCGTACATTTTTGTAGAATATTCTGACCTGCCAAAATTTAAATGAGTTTTCAATGATTTCTGGACCGAAAAGAGCGTTTCAGAGAGTCGAGAGTCACATTTATATATGTAATATTGCCAAAGACACCATATATCTAAAATGCAACGATTTTGGGAAATCTTAATCCCAATACATCTTCTATTTTTATTTTATATATTTATTATAATTTCTTTTAAATTTCCCCATAATTACAATTATTAAAAAAATTGAAATTTGTTGCACAGTGTTATAATGAATTCCATAACTCCCTACAGGTCTAAGTTATTTTTCGGTATTATGAAAGTTTTGCTGTATATATTTTAGTAAAGTGAATCTAAACAATAAGTATATCATAATTAAACATTTTTTTCTTGTCTCTCCGAAAGAAAAGAAATTGAACACCACTTTCTATTAAAGATATATATTTTTTCAAGAATTATAACCATTTAAAATGTATGGGACATTTATCAACAACAACCACGACCACGTTGACAAAAAAAAAACATACAAATGTGTTGCATGGCTTGCGGATGCACTTTTCTTTAGAAAGGCCATTTCAAGCTTTCGCTTTAAGAAGTTTGCCTTTGTTGCAGGCGACCGGCGAACCACTTCGCTCTGGACCAACCAACGATGACACATAACTAAGAATTATTGCCATTTTTGCAAACTCATCTACAATAAACTGAAAGTTATTTTCTAGCCAACTAAAAAAGTTGAGAAAAGTAGTAAATGTTGTTGTTTGGTTTGCACAGACCATTACAAATCAGACTCCTGTTTTTTTGCGTTGCATCTACCCGGATTAGGAGCCACGTAATGGGAGATGCTTTGAAAATGAAAGCCACACAACAAACAGCAACCGAAAGAGAAGAAGAAGAAAAAAACGCAAATTCATATTCTTGTATTTAGTTAAAGTCCAAATGGCAAAGAATTTATTTTGTTCACACATTAAAGAATAAAAGAAATGATTGCTGGTTAGCAATTGTGTACGTCTAGTCTAGATGGTGTCCAACCAACCACCAAACCAACTCTCAATGAGAATTGTTGTCCACATTGGATGGCATGTTTTGATGTGTTTTATTGTTCCTATTGTCGTTTGTCAGTTCGTTTACATTTAGCAGCAATCTGCAACTTCATCTTTGGTTCTTTCTTTTTCAGATTTCTCATCGGCCATCAGCAGCTGCTGCATCATCAAATGGGGAATGAAAATAACAATAGCAACAACTTCATCATCATGTCCATGGCCACTTATTAGTAGCACATTAAACACAAAGAGAAGCTGCACCATAATTACTTTCATTCAATTTGCCAATTTAATAATGTTTTGATGCACAGCTTCAATCATCAGCTTGGGAAGAGGTTTGTCTTCACCATCAAATCATCATTGGTAATAAAAGAGAAGAATAATTACCCTAGCTTACTTTCCAATTTATTTTTTATTAATAAATAATCGACAATTTAAATGGAATGGATTTTTAGAAAACAAAATGATTATTAGGTTGCAGAGATTGCAAGTAAATTAAAATTAAAGTGAAATAAAAGATGCGAAATTGGCGTTAAGTTCGGCCGAGACGAACTTTTATGCACTCCAATTTTTTGATAAACGAACAGTTTTCAGTTGAATTTAGTAGCTGCTGAATATTCTAATAAATAGAAATTATTGAAAGTCAATTTTTCCCATTTTTGTACAATTTTCAATATTTTTATCCATTAACAAATCAACGATGTCCTATCTAGGAGTCGGAATATATGGAGTAAAGAAACTAGTTCGTTTTTATAAAATGAACGAGCAAGATCGTTCCCAACTATACTGCTCTTTGTGGTATATAATTTGTGAAACGAGGTGTTATTTTGGTATGCTAAGAAAAAGTTTTGTAGGTGTGGGGAATACGCACACAGAAAAAAATGGGCATAAATAATTTGTCGCGATTTCTGCATTTTATGAAAGCAATTCATAAAACCTTAAATACAGGTTTCTTGTCAGAGAGAGAGAGAAAACAACATTGGAGTGTTTTTATTAGTGGTGGTGGGCTTCTTTGACAGAGAAATTCATTTTAATTTTTCTATTTTGATTTTATGTTTTTTTTCTTCTTCTTTTACTTACATGATCCCCTTTGCGCCTTAATATATTGCATTTAGCATTTATATCGGAATAACACATATGCGAATTTCGTAACGCAAATGTAGAAGTCCGTTGTTAGCAACGGAAATAAAAGGTTGCAAAAATACCTTTTAATTGTAAGAATTTTTATTTGTACTCTAAGGGCGGTACATATACAATTGATAAGAAAAAATGATAAAAAAAGGTTTTTAATAAATTTAGTACAAGGATCATAATGGCGTGAAAAATACTTCTCAAAAAATTTTGTTTTCTTTTATGTGCTCAAACCAATTGTCGAAGTATTTTTTCCAATATGATTGACGTACCTCCAAAACCTGTTTTTTGAACTAAGCAACAGCAATTTCTTGTGACGAAATTCGTTGACCACTTGAAGTGCGAGAAAAAGTCCTGTATGATGAAATACCTATTAATTCCACGTTTTTGCCGTAGAAAAAGGCGCTGGCTTGAGCGTACGTGTGAGAGCTCGTTTCAAAGACTTTAGGGAAACAAATTCCGGTGTGTCACTCAGAATTGAAAAATTAACGTTTGTTATACATCTTGAAAAAATATTCATTAAAAATTCACGCTTGCTGTGGAAAACAAATTCAAATTCATCCATTGACAAAAAAACATTAAAAATGTTTGAAAAGATATTCACTACAAAATCCTTGAAAAAATGTTTCCATGCCTATTGTGAGGCTTGGAAAATATTCTTCCAAAAAATTCACGTCCGATGTGTTACAAAATTAATTTTTTAAAGAATCCACGATTGCTCTTGAAAAAAATATTCATTAAAAAATCGTGGCTTGTTATGGCCATTGAAAAATATTCAATAAAAAATCCACGCTTGTTGTGCTCCTTGAAAAAAGATTCTTCAAAAAAATCCACGCCAAAATCATTGAAAAAATATTCTTTAAAAATCCACGATTTTTGTAGTCTTTGAAAATATTTTTAAGAAAATCCAAACTAGAATGCACCAGAGATCTCTTAGATATATATACCATGGGTTCCTCTTTTTCGTTTTTCGAAAACTTTAGGCTAAGAAATTCTGGTGTACGATTAAGAATTGACTGCCCTACGTTGCTCAAAGTACTTTTAAGTCGTTGTTGCCAAGTCCGCCAGGATGTACGTTAAAGCCACTATAGCACCCATACAGCACCGAAAAATTGTTGTGAAGATCTTACACACATTTCCCGGAACAGAATTAAATATTAATTCGATGGATGAAAAAAATCGAATTCACAAAATATGTTCAATGTTGTTGACATACAGCACATCCTGGAGTAAATATATTATATATCCTTTCCATTGTCCTAATGGAGAATGGTGTATAATGTTCATCTCCATTGGACATAAAATCATTTCTACTTATTTTATTTCACCTTGGCCATAATTGCGTGTTCCAATTAATTTTGGACAGGTAAATGCAATCCACACCCTTACTCCTTTTTTCTCCTTATGATGTGTGTGACCTTTCCCTTTGATTATGTATTCCACAACGATAACGAGATTTTTGTTTTTGGGGATCACTTTGATGCCAACAGCAGCAGCAAGTGTTTATATTTTTTGCACATGCCGAAAACATGTTCCGATTGGTCAGTGAATGTTCTGACTGCTCCAGTTGTTGTTAATTTGAACATCTGTCAATCTCCGGTCACCGTCAGTCTGCTAGCCAGCCAGCATGTGAAAATCTGTGCACACATAAAAAAAACGTTGACACAGTGAATGGAGAAACCGACCGAGGAAACCAGCATGGTACCAGCAGACATCACCAACAACAGCACCATCAGCAACAACTGGAGCAACAACGGCAGCAGCCATCATGACAAATAAAAGAGAGCTTGTTGAAAGCTCCACCATGCTGTGCGTTTGAAAGGAAATGCAAAAAATACACATTCGT